GGGGGGGTGGTGGGGGGGACGATATAGAACTTGGCTGGTGCTAAAGAACTTGGCTACCAGCTCCACGGGATAAGCCAAAGACACACCACTCTGGAAGTAATTTAATAGCCAAGGCACAGGTTCGAATCTCGACCACTCAGCGGTTCTCAACCTGTGGGTCGCGACCCCTTTGGCGGTCGAACGACCCTTTTACAGGGGTCGCCTAAGACCATCCTGCATATCAGATATTTACATTACGATTCATAACAGTAGCAATATTACAATTATGAAGTAGCAACGAAAATAATTTTATGGTTGGGTCACAACATGAGGAACTGTATTTAAAGGGCCAGAAGGTTGAGAACCAGTGCACCACTCCTCAGGGTGTTATGGCCTTGGGAAAATCACATAAACTCTCTAAGCCTAGTTTCTTGTCTGTACAATGAGGATAATCATACATTTAAAAGAAATGTAATCATAAAGTTCTCCCAAGAGAAGATTTAGTGATGGAGAAATGGATGAGGAGCTGGAGCTTGAAGAGGCCAGTACTATGATGGAGGAGCCAGGGTGATCCTCCACCTTCCTAAGTAGGGGGCTCATACTTGAGATGGTATGGGCAAAACTAAGCAAGGAAGAGGCTCCACCGAGAGCTTTCAGGAGGGCCTGGCCCTAGACAGCCTTTCCTGGGGCACTGGAGAGCTGCTGGTCAGGATCATCATACCTTGTCAGTGCCTTGGCTGCTCGTCCACTCATTCATTCATTCATTCATTCAAGAAAGAGGAAGGGAGAGGGAAAGAGATAGAAACATCAATGATGAGAAAGAATCATTGATCGGCTGCCTCCTACAGTGGGGATCCACACTGGGGGGTCGAGCCTGCAACCTGGGCATGTGCCCTGACTGGGAATGGAACTGTGACCTCCTGGTTCATAGATCCAGGCTCAATCACTGAGCCATGCCAGCCAGGCTCATCCGCTCACCTTAAGGGCTAGAAAGGAGACCTGAGAATTAATACTCCCTCCTGGGCACCATCTTGTCCAGGAGACAAGACTAATGTAGGCAGGATACTTCACTGCAAGGGAAGAGGTGGGCAAGCCTGGCATTCCAACGCCTGAGCTCTGCAGAGGGCACTGTTTGCCTGGGTATGAACATTTGGGGCCTCAGACGACTGACACCACTGCTCAGGGAGGTTCTCTCACTTGGGCCAGACCAGGGCACACAGTTAATTGTTGATTATGATTCTGTCTTTGCCTGCAGAACTCAGAGAGAGCAGAGGGCCCATCCCCAGGGGATGGACCACATTGCTCAGAGGCAGCCAAGGCAATCCTATTGTTCTTTGACAAATACTCAATGTCCCAGCCTCCCTTAAAATGGAAAGAACATGTGACTAAGTCTTGGCAAACAAAATTTAAAGGAAAACATGCGAGTAGGGTTCTGGGAAAGCTTTTATTTCATGATAAAGTGGTGCTGTCTCAATGCCTTCTTGGAGCTGTGGCAGCCACCTGTGGCATGGTGTAAACAGCAAGAATGTGAAAGTAAGAGGATAAACAGTCTAAGTCCTTGATGAACCAACACCTATGACACACAGAATGCCTACCAGACTTGTCAGGTGAGAATAAATAAGCCACTGTTTTAGGTCCTGTAAATCAGGTTGGGTTGCTTGTAGCATAATAGTCTTTTTTAAAAATCTGAACTATGGAGTCTCTTTTTTTTTTTTAATTGATTTTAGAAAGAGAGGAAGGGAGAGGGAGAGAAACATCGATAAGCTGCCTCCTGCACGACCCCTATTGGAGATCAAACCTGCAACCCAGGCATGTGCCGTGACTGGGAATCGACTGGCAACCTCTCAGTGCATGGGACAACCCTCAACCAACTGAGTCATACTGCCAGGGCACCTAATACATTCTTGATTGGGGGGGGGGGGCTTTGTAAGAGTCCCAGAAAAAATGATCATAAAGGACATCACTTAACCTCAAAGGACGACTCTCTTCTTGCAGCACACTTGGGTCATTTCTGCCTTTTGGCCCTCACCACTAATTACAAACTGGTTCTTAGACTCATTAATATGTATTCTACCCTCAAACATCAGCCCATTGCTATAAGGTGGCTCAGGCCACTACAGGCTGCATCTAGCTATCCTGCATCATCTGTCTTTTTGGCCAGCAGCCTGGTGTCCAGATTTTGAGCTGGAACCAGCTTGAAACTCTGAAGAGAATGCCCCACTGGCCAGAAATGTGGGACTACGACTCCTCCTGGGCAATATGGAGGAGCTTAGACTTTGAGCCAACCTCTTGGCATGCATGGCCCAGTGAACACCTTGTCTCGTGCCTCCTCTGGGAAATGTTTACTCCAGCTTTGCCCTCCACACCCCCTCACCTGCAAAGACACAAACAAGTCAAAGAATGCCACTCAAGAGGCTTTCTCCATTTTATTTCTTTGGGAAAAGAAAACAAAGTCTTTCCATCACATATGGTAGAGATATATATTTATATATATTTATATATAATTTCTTTTGTGGTTGGAAGTCCCAAAGCTGAGTCTGTTAATATTTTTTTTTTTTTCTACTAATGCCTTCTCTTCCCCCTGCCCCTCTGGCCCAGGCCCAGATTCTGGGACAGGTCCACTGAGGGGTGAGTGGAATCGGCAGTGATTGCCAGCATGGCCCCCCCCAAACCCAGTTCAGAGATCTGGTGAGGGCCACAGGAAGGGGCTGTGCAAAGAGATAGAGGCCAGAGAGGCACTCCTGTTTTCATGGGGGCTGCACAGCTTGTTAAACAGTCACCAGTCATGGGAGGAGGCTGGTCAGGGGTTAGAGGACTTGCTCACAGTAGTTGCCAGCTCTCTCCACCCAGTCCCCAAACCTAGTCTTGGGGGTGGGAGGGAGAGAGTGAAAAGAGAAATACAAGGGCTAAGGGCCAAGCCTCCTCCAATTTTTATTGCTGGTGAATTAGAAATTTGCCTTTCCCTTCCTACCTTGGGGAGATGGACTCTGAGAGGGCCCATACAGGAGGAAGTCACATTAGATGCCCCAACCCCACTGATGGCCAGGTCAGGCCTTTCCTGGGCTACCTCAGGGCCCTGGGGACCCAAAGGTCAGCCTTGTCTTTCAAGGGCAATCACAACCACCCCCCAAAACAAGGGCCTCAGGCTCAGGTTTGGGCCCAGTGGAGCTTGGAAGTGGGCAGTGAATGCACCAGGTATCAAGCAGAAATTTCTACTGGAAGAAAAGGTGAGTTTTGAGGGAAGAGGTGACAATGATGTTCTGAGCTGAAAGCAGAAGGAGGCTGGGGGAATGGAGTGGGGAAGACATCACAGACACTCATGACCTCAGTACGGGTGAGGGGAGTGCCTGAGAGGCAGGTAGCACTTAATAGCTGTAGTTAGAACCAGACAGTGGCCCTGTGTGTGGGCAGGCCAAGCAGATGAGGCTATTGCCCTTGGATCGTGGTCAGGGAGGGGTGTGGGGAGGGAGAGCTTAGAAGCCTCCAGGTGACACTTCCAGGAACAGGAGGGCAAATCTTTCCTGGACACTGAGCCTCCAGCCCCAGCCCTTCCCTCCCTCAATACACACTTATGGACACACACTCAGACCAAGCCAGGCTCTGAGGCCTGAACCCTAGAGACCTTGGTGGGGAGGGGCTGGGCAGGTAGCCCTCTCAACCACAGGCAGGCCATCTGCTCCCACTTGTCCTGCCAATCTGCCCAGGAAGGGAGAACAGTGCAAGAAGGAGAGAGGCCAGGAGCCCAAGGTCTATCAGTTTCAGCAGACCCCCTCAGGTTACATGGCCTAGGAGGTGAGCACAGAGAACATTACTGGACACAGAGTAGCCAACAGTAGCAGCCCAGACCCAGTGAGGGGCTGGGGCACCTCATGGCACTACAGGCCTGCCACCTCCATCTCCAACAAGGGAGTGCCAACAAAGGGAGCCTGGGCCCCTAGTCCCCGCTCGCTCTGCCCTCTCCCTGTTCCCTCCTTGGAGGAGGGCCCAGTGGGTTGCCCAGAGGGGCAGTAGTAGAGCTAGAAGGGCACTCAGTGCAGGAAGGGAAGGGACCTGGTCACAGCTGCTTTGAGAACCTCTTTGGTCTGGGGATATGGGGAACCTGGGGAGGAGAGATGGTGGGAGGGGACATGGGGGACTCTGGCCTTTGACAGGGTATTTGTCAAAAGTCCCATGCCGAGATCAGGGATCAGATTTCTGTGGACTCGATGCGCTCAAGGCGGGAAGGGGTCCAGGCTTTCTTCTCCTCGCCATGTTGGGGGGTGGGTGTGCTGGCACCCCCTGCGGCCCCACGTTCACGCAGCCGCCGCTCCAGCTGCTGGTTGCGCTGGTACATCTCCACATAGCTCAGCTGCAGCTGCTTCTGGTACTCGATGACCTTCTCCTTCTCCTCCAGCCACACACGGCGCTCCTCGGCGGGGCCGGCTGGAGGCAGGCGGTGGGCAGCTCACCCTCGGCCAGCTCCAGGCTGGCCTGCTTGCTGCCGAAGGAGTCCCTCAGGCTGAGCAGCTGCTCCTCCTTCTCCCGCAGCGAGGCCCGGCCCTCCCGCAGCTGGGAGCGCAGCCCCACAATCTCACTCAGCTTCTGGGACACATCCGCCTGCGAGTCCTTCAGCTGCTGCTTCAGGAGGGAGATCTCCCCGGCTTTCTGGCACACCTGGGCAGGGTCGGGTGGGAGAAGCCAGGTGAAGGCAGAGCTCTGCTCACCTCACCCCACCTTCCCTATCCAGCCCCAGAGGTACCCAGCTTTTCCAGGGCATCAGGCAGGGCAGCAGTGACACACAGGGCCCCCTCCTCAGACTCAGGACATACATGGCCAATCCCACCCAGCCCAGGGACAGCTCTCTGTGGTCCTCACAGAAACTGCTGATCAATCTTGTGCCCCACCCCCAACTTCCATTCCCCTTGTGCTCATGGGGGCCGACTGCTCTGGGTTTCTCTGCAGGGACAGAAGGAAGAGGAGACAGGGAGAAGGCCCAAGCCCCCAACCCGCACCTCCCACTTCGTTTCCTCCATCCGGGGCAGGAAGTCGGCCTGCTCCTTCTGGCAGGCGGCCACCTTGTCCTCGAGCTCTTCCCGCTGTCGCATCAGGCGGGCTGCCTCCTCCTGCAGCTGCTTCTTGTCCTGCTGCAGCCGCAACACTTGCAGCTGTAGGCCCTGCTGAGCACGCTGGGCACTGGGGGCCACCTGCTG